CCTGCCTGAAGTCTTTCTATGTTCCTAAGATATTGGTGAATGTGTCTAAAAGCTTGTATATAGAGGATACTCATGGATTATTTTTTCAAGATGTTGTCCGATCACTGAAACCACGTAGCCAGTGTTTATTTATTATCCTAGTGAACACTAGATCAGTTCTAAACAAACACTTAATACTAAGAACGTTAGCTTCTATATGCAGGCCGTCATTGATTATGGTAACTGTAGCCTGGTGCACAAGATGGAATCTCTAGTGTCAACCTAAGAATTGTTAACTACAACCTCTTTCGAAGGGACATACAGACAGGCCGTGGGGGTGGAGCACTTATTTGCTGCGAACAATCCATGTGTGCAACTTAGTTCAGTAACCCAATTCTGTCACAGCTCAGTGACTCTATCTGGGCTGAAATGAAAGTTGTCAGAAGTAAACCTATACTCGCGGGTTGTAAATACCGACCCCCTTAATCCACCAAGGAGTTTGATAATATACTCAGCAACATTTTGAATGCTACAGGCAATCTTCCCTTCAGTCATATAATTATCGGGGGTGATTTCAACATGCCGGAGGTATCATAGCCTTCACTCCAAGGACTCCAAAGGTATGGTAATCTCCTGATTTCCATCGTCACAGGATGGTGGACACAACACATAGATTCATCCACTAGATCCGCAAATATCCTAGACCTTATTTTCACGAACAACATAACGCCATCTACAATTCATGTGGGATATGAATTTCCACCTCGTGGCCATAAAATAGTGGCGTGTTCTTTTGACGTCTTTCCTGAAACAAAACGCAAAGATGAAGCTGACCAGACACCTGTAAGGTTGCACACGCATGCTGACTGGGAATTGTATCAGCACCTAATTAGATGCTCTAATTGGGACTCGTACTTTTCGAACGAGTCCCTAGAGGCAATTCTTAACAATTTTTATCACAATATTAACCCAACTTATGACTTTATTGCACCTGAGAAGATTCTTAGCTTCGAATTTCCCCTAAGCGATAATATTCCGACATCGTTAAGAAGAAGTCTACGAAATTATCATTATTGTTCCCTTGGGTTCCTAGTGGAACATGGGGCTTCAACTGCACGTCTCCACTTGCTTCTGTCCTCTGCTGTACTTTTCACCTCTCCTCTATTAGCTTCCAGGTGTCCGTTGAGAGCCATTCCTTGTCTTGTTTCTTCTTTCTTCCTAAAACCGTTGAACACGTTTCGTTGAAAATCACCTTCAGAGAGTTCCAATGGTCTTCCACGGATGATTCCTCAGTTATGCCACGTGGTGTTTCCTGCTTTGCTCTGACAGTTGCAGCGAAAGTGTCCTTTGTGGTTGTGTCCTTCAGTTTTTGCGTGTTCAACTTGCATTGTAGCCTATCCCCAGCTGTCCTCGAGGCTTTTAGCTTCACCTTGAAAGTTCCTTGTACTAGATAGTGGTCTGAACCCACATCTGCTCCTCTCCTCGATCTTGTGTCCAGTAGGCTCCGTCTCCACTTCCCTGAGATTGAAATGAAGTCTATCTGGCTTTTGGTGTGTCCATCTGGTGAAATCCATGTTGCCTTGTGTATATCCTTGTGTTTGAACTCACTGCCACCAATCACCAAATCATTGAAGGCGCAGAAGTCTGAGAAGAGTTCACAATTGTCGTTCATTTCACCGAGGGCCTTACGACCCATGGTTAGTTCTCTTCCTGTATTGTCTCCTCCCAGTTTCGCAATCATATCACCCATAAGGATTCTGATATAACCATTTGGAGCGTTGTCTGTAGAAATCCTCCTTCTTCTCTTGTTCTGAGACGTTTGTAGGCGCATAGCATTGAACGATTGTAACCTTCCTTCCTTTTGAGTTGAACCTGGCTGTCATTTTCCTGGAGGAGATTGGTTCCCATAGCATGAGAGCTTTGGCTGCTGTTGGTGACATCTTGATGGCCACTCCCTCGTCGTGCTCTTGGTTGTCCTCTGGGTGATGGGAATAGATTACTGTCTCTCCAGTTGAGAGTTGACTCCTTCCACATCCGTTCCATCTGCTCTGGCAGATTCCCAACACTTCTATTCCATATCTTCTCATTTCTGCGGCTACCTGGGCAGCCTTTCCAGCTTCGTACATTGTACGAGCATTCCATGTCCCCATCCTTATTTTTGCTTTCATCGAAAGAAGGCACATAGGCTGACCGGCCTCCCGAAGGCTTTCACCAGCCCGAGTCATTCCGTTTCCCCGATTCCAGTGAAAAATAAGGTTATTGTTTATATTTTCAGTATTTTTAATATATTTATGCGTTGAAGTTTCTGTAGCAATTTGGTTAAGTTTTGGGGGTGGAGTTGCTAGCACCACGCCCCAACTCTCCCTCTTTATCTGGGCTTGGGACCGGCTAGAAAACTAGCGAGCTAGTAATCTAAGCGAGGCTGAAGTCTGCAAAATCACTCAATAAAATACTACAGATATCATGAAATATCGTCAATAATTGCTATAACGTGCTTCTCACCAGAATTCAAGAGTTGAAAAATATAAGCCTCAGAAACAAGGAGACGCGGACCATTCAGGCACCGCATAACTCAAAAGAAATAGCCAAACCTTTCGAAAGTAGATTAACAAACTCCAAAACAGCCCATCCAAATTAACATACTTAGACGGCATTGCTTACGAGAGTATCGAGGTGATATATGAACTGTTTAGCAAGCACTTCGCCAGTCTATGCACTCTGGAGAACGATCAGGTCATGGATTTTCCACGTAAAACAGACGAATTTCTAAGTGATATACTTTTCACCACGGAAGAGATCGATAAAGCTATCTCAAATCTTAGGCTTAGTAAAACTGTGGTGAGAGATGGTTGCTGGCCAAATTGGTTGACAGTAATTGAGGTCAATGTTAGTCATGTGAAAACAAGGTCAAGATGGAAAGGCGGATACAGTTAACATATATATGAACTGGCACAGCCACAAGAGACGCAAGGTTAACTTTGTGTGAGAAACAACCAATCAACAGACTATTTTCTACTAATATTAACCTACAATAATGTACATCAAAATCTATAAATATGTGTGGCCCTTGTCTTCTGTTGTTAAAAAACTATATATATCTTCTCCCATTCTGCTGAAAAACGGTGGTAATGACATGAATTTACTCCTACTCAAGTTGTACTCAGTTTCACCAAGCGATGGGACATATCCTACCTGCTGGAAGAAGTCTTGTATTGTGCCTATCCATAAATACGGGTCTATAGCTTATATCAACAACTGCCGCCCCATCAACATCACGTCTGTAGTTTTACGTGTAATGGAAAAGATAGTAAAGACTCAAGTCATTCAGTACTTGCTGTCAAATGACTTACTATCCCCATCCCAATACGATTTCTTAAGCAGAAGGTCATGCATTACTTGCCACTCAGATTATTTTTACCACATTACAAAATGCATTGATAACAGGCGTTCGGTAACAACATTATTTCTCGACGTCAGCAAGGCCTTCAATAAAGTCCCACACGTCAGACTCCTAACAAAACTCCAATCCTACGGAATAACCGGAAAACTTCTCAAATGGATAAATTCTTTTCTCACAGAAAGAGAGCAATTAGTCAAAATCAACCGCCAGCTGTCTTCATCAAAGCCGATAACTAGTGGTGTAATACAGGGTAGCGTTCTTTGCCCTATTTCCTCTTATTTATAAATGACACAGTCTCTGTGATCAAGTATGGCAAGCCATACCTCTTTGCAGATGATCTCAAGATAGTATATGATTATGGGTACGATGTTTTAAGCGTCGAAAGCAAGCTCCAACATGACTTAAACAATCTAGGCTATTGGAACGAAAAGTGGCAACTGACTTTCAACCCAGACAAGTGCGGTATAGCCCACCTTGGACGTGGGAGACCGAGAATGTGCCTATATATGTACGGTAAGCACCTCTAAAACTGAGCACAGTCACCGATCTCGGTATAACATACTCGGATTTGACCTTTTCGGAACATGCAGATAAGGTAGTGCCTGGCTGTAAACGACTTACTCGTACTGCGTAACTTTTACATCCAAGAAGCAAGATTAGCTATATATGAGATATGTATCCGCCCCATACTTGAATATTGTGCTCCCCTATTTAGTAAGCTAGGGTCTATAGACCGAAAAATATCGAAAGTTTCCAGAGATCCCTCACGAAACGTACGATAGGGTTTGACCAACAAGTGGGATGTGCTGACAAGTGTATATGACTGATTTCAGAAACCCTGTGGTTAAGGAGAGTGAGATGCAACTTAAATCTACTCTTCAAAGTCATTAGGAAACACAGTTACAGTGAATCATCCATACCGCGGGCAAATATTAAATCATATGAGCTGCGAAACCACGAATAACTTTTGAAGGTGGCTACCCACAGAAAATCTATTAAGGCCACTCCTTGAGGTGCATAACATCATTGCTCCTCCGCTACTCAAAAGGGATGCTAAAATTTTAGAAAGTGTCCAGAGACGAGCGACAAAATGGGTGATCGGCCTCCGCAACAAATCACATGAGGAAATACTGAAGAAATTAAGTCTTTTCACACTTAGTTACCGTAGTCACAGGGGAGACCTCATCACCGTCTACAAGATCTTAAATGACCAGGCCCACCCTAATAAAAGCATCCTGCCATTAAGTGATTATAGGCTTCCACGAGGTAACCCGCTAAGGATAGCACACCAGAGACCAAAGACTCAAGTGCGTTCACATTTCTTCTCGCTTCGAGTTTGCCGTCTCTGGAACGCTTTACCGGCGGCCGTGACTACAACGCCATCTGTGGAGACTTTTAAGCGGAAGCTGGACAATCATGCAGAAATGCATGGTTTGTGTCTCAATGGCTTATCCTCTTAAAATTTGAAACCACACTGTCAATGGATAAGCATACAAGCTTAATCCCCACGAGCCGTCCTGTCTTCTCCCACTGTACCGACTACTCTATCTTTTCTTTCTTCCTTTATTATTTCACCTCTATTATTTCACTTATCTCAACCTATATTATCTACACTACAACCTATTATTATTATTACTATTCTACTTTTATGACTACACCGAATGACCAACGGGTGTTAGGTCAAACTCCATTCACGGCAGCAGCTGAGTCCTAACATACTGTACACTACAAACCACAATCTTGGCCAATCCTCGCACCACTCCTCTTGGAGTCTACCAGAGCTAAAGCTGTCGAGTGGCGGGATTTACTACGCATAAGTTCACCGAAGATCTGGAACCTCTACCTTACAATCAAGAAGCGAGCTCAAAGAAATCACCGGTTTATACTAGCTCGTAATCAGGATATTGGACAAAGCACGTGGCGGTGCTCTCAAAGAACGGACATACCTAATTGTCGTCCTAATGTCTGTATGTGATATATGTGGAGACTTCTTTAATATATATGCCCATTATTGTCTCTCGTGTCTGTATTGTGGTTTCCGTAGTTGCCTTTTTCGATTAGAACAAGATCTAACATATAGTTACTTAGTATAATTAGTCTAGAGTCAAGAGCATCTGACCTTGACGTAGTAACTTGTGACAATCCGTAGTGTCCCGACCATATAGTTACAATCTACCGTGCAAGCGCTTACTGCTGCAAAGTCTAGAATTAATTCATCACCGTGAGGTGTAATACAAGTTCTAACTTTCACGACTGTAGATTTCTACTTAAGTAGAAACTAGTAGGGTTACAATTGCAACCCTAATACTAGTTTCTGGACAGTTATTTCTTTATTTGAGTAGAACTGATTAGCTACTTGTGGTGTTCAAGAAGTGTACTTGACTGCGTTCGGTGAATTATCCTGAATATCCCTATCAGGGCCTCCTAAGGCTGTGCAGAGCACCTGTAGTGTCCCGAACGGTCTGACGACGGCCTATTATTCCGTGCAGTCTGCACCATGCGATCCTAATAGTTTCTTACTTAAAGCAACACTAAATCATCCAGGGAATAAGGCACTTGGCCAGTGTATACCACTGCACTTTAGGTAGAATGGATGTCGATGCACCAACGTTATGATTATCTGGTCGATTCACTTAGGTCACTCTGAAGCGTTAATCCTAATTTAATTGAACTTGTAACATCTGATTTTCGAAGATGTGGAAATTAATTAATTCGTGAGATACCGCTTAGGCCATAATCCTTTCTGCTCTGCTACCAAAAAGCTATGTTTTTCTACATTGGTTGCTAATTCGCCATTATTTTTCGTAATATCTTAGCAAATAATATGGAAGTTGCTAAATAATTCTTTTTTCGTCGTTGAAATCTTGACATACGGCTATGATCCTGCCCCCTAAGCAGTATGGTGTGAGGACAATACGTAATAAATGTGAGTGGTATATGAATTGCATCGGTTAGTGAGTGACAATCGAGGGTGCAACTCATCAGGATACAAAGACTTAAAACGTTTCATTTTTGTTTTATTGACCACCCTGTGAGAAAATCGAAGTTGTGTGCGCTTAAGCTTTGTCACTTCATATATATGGTGTCAGTAGTATAGAGAAAACATTGTGAACTTCCTAATTTCTCTAAATAGTGTGCTTACTATTCTGTTTCACTCTATTGATGATCTGTAATTACAGTTATTGGGTGGTGTGATAGTGATCTTAGATATCTTGGTTATGCAGCAGAAATGAAGTTCGCCGCATGATTAATTTAAAAATGTGCTTAGAGATGGTATTTGTTCGTTTTGATGCTTGTTTTCCATCACCGATTTTTGGATAGGTTTTTTGAGAATCGTGTGACTTCAGAGTATAGGATCTGCGTAATTCGAAACTAGTCTAAAATAAAAACAATACTTTCACACGTAGAAAGGCGCTAGCTAGAAACATTATTCTTCTTTCGAGAAACTAGTCATCTTGAGCGGCCATAATCTCGCTAGCGATCAAAATCATCATATCTGCATGATAGGTAGCTTAAAACGCAAAACTGTTTCGAGCTGCCAATCCGATGGTCTCCTGTGGTCACCCTTATTACCTGTTGGGTTACAGTAAACGGTATTGGTAGTGTCAAACAGGTTTTAGTTAGCATCTAAGCAGAAGTAGGACCAAAAATGCTTATACGTGGCAGAGTGTCTACCATCAAGAACAAGGTTTGAATATTATGCGGCATATTTCTCAGGACGCAAGATAACTTCTGACTTAGTGACCAATTTGAGTAAGTTTGTCGCCAATATATTTTGCACTGACTTAATGCGTAAGGACATTACCATACAATGAACTTGTAAGAATATCTAAAAGGGAAAATAGATCTGGGTAGGAGGACAGCGAGTATTCACCGGCTTTTCATTAATCTACATTCCTTCCTGTGCGTCGGTGGCACAGTGGTTAGGACTCTCGCCGACCATGAACATGGTCCGGGGTTCGACCCCCTGCCGGCGCACACCCGATATCTATGGTCAGCCTGAATTTGGGCTACCGATATCCATGCTGAAAATTCCACACTTGTACTGAAAATACGGTGTGGAATCAAGCTGTAAATCAAAATAAAAAAAATAAAAAATAAAATGGAATTAGGCAGACATGTAACTATAGAATTCCAGCCTATCTAGACCAATGATTTCAGTGGCATGACCTGTTACTTTCGCACCTTTAAAAAGGTAAGAAACACGCATAAACCCCTTGAATTAAAAATAAGTGAACTATATATGTACTCAGCTTCTAGTTAAGAGACTTACCTCAGTGATATAAGGTGTCTATTTGGTGGTGAGAATCTTACTCCTACGTTTGTTATAATCGAGCCGAGCATAGTTCTCATCGTGGATTAACCCATTCTTCGTCTTCATTGAGTCAGTCTATAATAACAAAGTGTTTTCCAAAAATTGGCTGGTTAGAAATGTTCACTGTAAATGCTTGAGTGAACTTTTGGCTGTGGAATTATTTGGCTTCCTAATTAATCAGTGAGTGTCAACTGAAATTCCAGCTTGGGACTTTGGACAAAGGTGCAGCAATGTAGTTTGTCATACTTCATAAAAGTACGTGTAAAGGTAAGAAAGAAATGACTGATTGTAGCTCATGTGTTCATAGAGATAAACTCTAAGTGAAACTGAATAAAGCGAGAACTACAGTTTTCGCAGAATCAAGTGAATACCTAGATTACCAGATAGTTCAGCCTCACTTATTTTATTCATAAGTCAGAAGAATAACGGAAATATATATGCGAGAAATTCTTATGTCTAGGTAGTAGGATATATGATTATAAATTATATTCAGCTGTAATGGAAAGCCAGTGTTTACTGTATAATTGTGAGCAACTTTCTAGACATTAGAGATTGTGATAAATGGGGTTATCATATGCATTTTAGACAATGGTAAAATGAAATAAACCAGAATTACACAATCAGGGGATTTTCTGTCCAATAAAGGTACGTTAAATGTCTCAGGAGATAGGAGATGAACCCTTTTCACCTTTCCTAACAAACAACTTTAATATTTCCATAAAACTATGTGTTGTGTAACAGTTAGTTTTAAAACTGCAGTATATATTGTTCGCAGTTGTAAAGAGGAGAAATCCATTGACGAGGATGTGAAGTTACATCGACTGCGATGGCTAAGACATGTGTTACGTCGGACTTCAGTTTTCCAAAGTGCTATACTAGTTACAGTGATCCTTTCTGATGGTTTCACATTATCAGGATTGCAGCAGTTACCGTCTCATTGTTTCTTTCACTATAGTGAGGCTCTGAGTGCAGCGGAATTACACTGACGGGAAGGAGGACAGCGGTAGATGGAAATCTGGGTGTCCCGACTGTACTTTGTCCTGTACTCTATCATCAAGTTTCCCTTACGGGCACACTCCAGGAATCATAATGCCGGGACATTCTCCGTGTGACAGGCCTCAGGCAATCGTTCCTGGAGCTGTTCGATCATGCAAACCATACTTTTTTCTAGGGTATTCGAAGAAGTTAGCATCTATGGGGTTGGTAGTGGCAAGATATTAATTGCCAATGCACTTCCACCTGCCTATTGTTCCTCCTCTTAATTTTTTCCTCTTATAAATTCTCTGCTTTCCACATCGCTAATGCTTTTATCTAAAGTCCTTTGATACACTAGATGTTTGAACCAGCCAGTTCTAGTCGATAAAGTGTGAGATATTGATGGAATTCGTTCAGATTACTTCATAGTTTGTTTTATTTCCTAGTAATAATAATAGCTTTATTCCAAACAGTACTTTTGGTACAAATATGGAATTTCCTACCAAACACTCAACATATTTGGGCACATTTTGCCTATTTTCAGGGTTAGATAGCAATTAGTGGAAGGGACTGACAGCATTCTACTATTACTTTGTTTAGTTGTTCGGTTCGTTTGCGACAAATCCTTTTATTTATTTCTCATAAATTTAACTCACAGTCTTTAGGTGCATTTTTTATTTACTTCTTAAGGTGTATCATTCAGAATTTGTGCCTGCACCAAACACCGTGGGAAATATGGCTCTGTTACCTTTACGTACAAAGTTCCGCGGTCCTGCACCTATGAATCCAAGTTTAGAGAAAGATATTATTGATGAAGCACTATATTTGTTCAAATCACTTATATTTTTTCGACAATATGAACTGAAAGTAAGATTCATTTTTTAGTTTCTACTTTTGTCATTCATAAGTATTTTTGATGATTTTCTGTCGTATGCAGTAAAAAAAAAGTCTTCAAGTTTACACTAGTGAACTAACATTCATAGTTTCATCTTTATTTTCCGAAGTTTTAAAAGCATTTAAAGACGGTTGCTTAAAATCTTGCTATCTAGGCAAGAAACATAGGAAAGCTCAGGTAATGCAACGGATATATCGATATAATCATTTAGCAGTGCGTGACAGATTTTTACTCCTAAGAATTAATTTATTCTCGTGAAAAAAGATCGACTGTTTAATAAGAGTGACGCAAAGCCATTCTCAGATATACGCGAAATCCTATAAACGCTGAAATTAAAAAGAATGTGCAGCCAGGAAAAATCATTTTGGGTATTTAGTTCATTCCGGGTATGTGCTGCGATGTTTCATAGAGAGTACATGTAGCTCCTGATTAGCATCGTGATGTCTTGCGAACATCGTAGATAAACATTTTGGGCAAGCCTGCATTGCACGCGATGTCATTCGACGGTCTCCTCAGTATATGCCCGATCTATCTCCACTTTCTCTCACATATTTATCGAGCAATCGGCTCTTGGTTCGTTCTCAGCCAGAGTTTCTTGTTGCTAATTCTTTCTGGTCGGTTGGCCATTTGATCCTCAGTATGGAGCCAGTCAGCGAAGGTGGCAGCTGTTCATAAAAGTCTGTAACTTGTTGGTGACCCTTTTCGTGACACGCAGTGCAAGTTTCTGACCCATATAGAAGAACTGATTGACTTCACATTTGTGTTGAAAATGAGAATTTTGTTGTTCATGCTGAGGCGAAGTGCAGAAGATTTTCAAGCTGGTTTCAGGTTGATGAAGGCGTACCTTGCCTTCCCGATTCTCATTTTGACATCTTCGTCCATTCCGCCTGTAGTTGAAACGATGCTTCGAAGATAAGAGAAGAAAGTAACCCCGGTTGTTGTTGTTGTTGTCGCTGTTGGTTGTTTGGTTATCTTCATCATCTCCGTCTTCTCTGTGTTCACTTGCTGCCTCTTCAACCAGCCAGTTTTATTGGTTTTCACCTGCAAGTCTTCCACTTTGTGTGACATTAGACACATATCATCTGCGAAATCCAGATCTTCTCAAGTCTTCTTATCGGTCAGTGCAGTTTATTCCTGTCTTCTCACTCCATGTTCACAGTCTGACTCATAATCTAGTCCACCGCAATGAAGAATATCATCGTGGGTGACAATAGGCAGGCATCCGGCTTGTCTTACTCCTCGCTAAGTTCCCTGCTGTGGATCACCTGACACATGATATTGTCATATAGGCAGCTGTTGAATGAGATTGTTAAAGATTTGGGCACTGCACGTCGTAGTGTTGAAGCAGTTTCCAAATTACTTCTCGGTTAACGCTGTCAGGTTAAGGCCTTTTCGAAGTCGATGAAGTTGTTGAGGTAGAGATAGGTTCGACTGGCATTCTCTGCTTTGTTCTGTGATGATGATGGCGATGCACAGAGTTGCAATTTGATCAGCACATGATTCGCCTTTTCTGAATCCAGCTTGTTCCGGTGTGGATGGCGGATTTATGCACTAAGTGCATCTTTTATTCTCTCCAGGATGAAGCGACTTAGTATTTTACTTGGCGTGGACAAGAGCATGATTCTACGCCAGTTCTTTCACAGACCTAAGTCGTCTTTCTTTGGTAGCTTGACAAGGCAGTCTTTCTTCCAATCAGTAGTCACTTTTCCTTCTTCCCAGATCTTTTGCAATGATGGCGTCAGCATATCTGCCGCAGTCTCTGGGTGCATTTTCAGTGCTTTGGAGGGAATTCCGTCTGGCTATGCTGCCTTCGCAGCTGAAATTCAGTAGCTTGATCGCATTCAGGATTTCCGTTTTTTGGAGTATAGGAGCCCACTGGCAGTTAACCTACTTACGTTGATACAACTTTTTAAATAAATAAAGTCAATATATTTGAAATGCTATCATGTATACTTGCAACTTACCTTTAGTATAGTTTGTGCAATTGTTATAACTTCACTGAAGTGAATAAACCCGTCTCCACTTTGTTATGTCTGCGCTTACTAATTGGTAATGAACTCGACTGGTACCCTAATATGCCTGTTTGCCCGTTGTCCCTTCCGATTCACTGAGCCACGCAAATATTAAAAGACAAAGGCTGGCCTGTGACTGTTAGGTACTGTACTGTACATTTATTAGGAAAACGGCACATGATATCTATACAGTTTTGCAACACTGAGGTCTGCTCACAGCCGTGAGAAATGATTGATCGCATAATCACTCACAACATTTGTGAGAAAAGATAATATACTATTTTATGCGGGATCGTATCAGCAATACGGTCACTTTAGATTGCGAAAATCCTATGGTGATTCACGTTTTTGCTAAAGAAAGAAGAATACTACAAAGTGTTGATCATAAAATTGATATGCTATGCCTTTCTGTTGATTTGTCATTTCTAATTGACACTATGAAGTGTAATATCAATTTCCTGTATTCATCATTGGGATTCACAAAAAACACCCTGATCCTATCAGCCGATCACTATGTAACAGTTAAATTGCTTTGGTTTAAGACACAGACTCAATTTTGTCAATTCATGACTGTATTTCACATTTCAAAAGATCACTGGAAGCTATTTAAGACTTCCTGTCATTGCTCCTTTCAACGGACTCAAGGGTAGATAGTGGATTAGGATACCTAGAGCTCATTATTTAACTTCGTAGTTAAATAAGTACTATTTCATGCTGTCATGAATGAAAGTCATTCTAACGAGAACCTTTTTAATCGTTTAATTTCAGTTTGAAACCTTCGGCTATTTATTCTTATTATAAAATTCCTGTATTGTTGAGCAAGCTGATGAAGTAATTCCTTTCAATGTGCGTTAGCTTCATTAGTGAATACGATTTTCGGAATGCATGATAGACAAGTAGTAGTTGGATGATCCAGTGTGTAAACAGATTTCCTTTCCTTCAAAGCATTTTGAACAATAACATTTAACAGATCTAAAATTGTTAAAACTACCCTTTTCTACTTTGCATAGTGGCATTTTCATGTGTCGTTGAACAAAGCAGTAACTCTTTGGCTTCAGATGATAAATAATAAAATAATATTTTGTTAATATCTTCGACACAAATGTGAAGTAGTTGACATGTTTTGCCATTCTTGTAAAGTGGCGGTGCTTATGATTGACCTACAGTTAATAAGCCCCGAGTTTGAATGCCTCATCACCTACTTCAGCCTGGACACAACTCAGTAGTATCATCAGCCATCATACAATGCATATAACTCATAGTCTAGTCTGCATTCTGGATAGCACAGTTTAAACATTCTTGAGAAAACAAAAATATTGTTTTAATCCGCTTTAGTACTTACTCCAAATGTAAGAAGTAAAGTAATTGGGCATGTTGTCGAAGTCTTGTTCTCTAAAGAATTCGCTTTAATTTGAGTCCGCTAAAGAATAACGAATTTTAGTTATTTACCAAGCGGTCATTTGACATTGTTCAAATTGCACTTTATTTTCCGTCTATGCGCAACATCCTGATAGGCTCAGCATTATACTAAGCAAGATGATCAATTCTTCGCTTTAATGTAGGCGGTAAAAATAGTTTTAAACAATCTATTTTGAATCAGTGTACGAATTTGTTTAAATTTCTCGTTCATCTCAGTGTCTTTTACCTATTTCTATGATTCCTTAAATACGTATATAGAAAAAGATAGAAAACTCGGCATTTTATGCGTGTATTTAAATGCGGGCTTCAAAATTTTATGAAAAAACAGTCACTCATACACGCATACGCTGACAGTAGTTGTGTGCTAATCTGCCTCATATTCGAGTTAGAAACATATAGAAGTGTATGATTATGTTGAATAAATAAAATATGTTGGCATTGAGAAATAGTCCTCTATTAGGTTAAGCATTCAATTTGATGAGTTAGTTAAATTTATTGTTTCTAATCGATAAGCATCTTGCTGGTAATTGTATCATCTAATTTCTTATATCTTCAAAATATATGTTATAATTATCTTATGAAGTGGTAGAAAAAATTAATATTCTTGTACTGCTACGAATAGCACAAACTATGAGACATTTTTTTAAAATTAACCTACTACTTCTTTAGCCGAAGCCGACATTCAACTTACAATGTTGCTGTCGAACGACTGTTGTCCAAACTATTGGATTGAAATACCCTGTGTGTAACTTAGTAAATCATATTTATTGTATACAGTGTGGTAACTTGGCTGCGTGGTTTCCCAGTACATATGAGCTACATTTTCAAATCAATAGTGTGCAAAGTTGAAAATTAATCATTGGATAGGTGATTGATGAGCAAACCTGACTCCGTGGCCATCTGGGATGCTAGACTTCTAGTTAGAAATTCAGTTATCCAGAACAAATATTTGATCTACCAGTCTATGAGGCATATTCATTGCTTGAGGAGTGATGATGCTACACAGTCACCTAGGTGAACTTGGGTGATGTGGGATTCGAACTTAAGAGCACTAGCTGAAAGTTTAGTGCTAAAGGAGATGAGGTAGATCCTGGAAAAAAGCGGGACCCCTCAGGAGGACTGGAAACGGACCCAGAGACCACAACGGATATGTTCACGCCATTACTACAGGATATGGGGCGAAGGGAAGCTAGTGGCTGTTTGGAAGAAAGGCCACCTTGTGGAGCTGTCAAAGAAGACTGAATTAAGTCTTTGTAGGAATGGGCGCACAATGATATTTCTATCTACTTCGAGGAAAGTAGTAAGCCACGTCATCCTGAAGAAATGGCATGGATAGGAGACTTCGCCTTAAACAGGCTGAATTCAGGAAGAACAAGTCATGTGCAGATCAAATATCAACGTTATGCATCATCATGTAAACCCTGCAGTGGTTTACACAAACTCAAGTGGGACTGGAATGTTCAGTGACAAGTCGGGCTATTGTTCGAGGGTGATATGGGGAAGGAGGAGGGAATTTGTGGACAGTCGGGAAACTGGTTGAAAGTAATATGAGAGAACCGAGTGCAATGGACGTATGTCATTGAGACCCTATGTCCAACGGGGAAGGTAAGGAATTTTAGATGAAAACAGAAGTATTTTTGTTGTATTTCCGAACTGAGCTGAGAATAAACCCAGCACTCAGCATTGAGTACAGCTTCGTATTGAGTGTATGTAAATGGATCAAAGATTCTAATAGTAATTTTTATCAGCTTGAGATCCATAATTCTCACGATGGTGCGAGACATCTTGTTATGTCATTCAAACAGGGATATGGGTGGGCAATAATGTGGGCATATCTAATCCTGTCTTAGAATATCGTATCAACATATCTTATACTTTCAAGTATTGGTTTGGTAGGGATTTTGTGTAATTGTATGGAGGATTTCATCATGAGCTGACATCAGTTAGAGAACCACTGGAAAACCTGGGAGTACTGGACAGCTGTTTCGTCCTAGTTTGGGACTCTTCAGCAGTACGCGCCCACCGGGATTCGAACCCAGGATCTTCTGGTTACAAGGCGAGCTCGTAGACCATTGAGCCACTGGGACCCGATCCAATGGTCCTTGAATTCTAACTTCTGCCAATTCACGACATAGCGCGCGGGTCCCAGTGGCTCAATGGTCTACGAGCCCGCCTTGTAACCAGAAGGTCCTGGGTTCGAATCCCGGTGGGCGCGTACTGCTGAAGAGTCCCAAACTAGGACGAAACAGCTGTCCAGTACTCCCAGGTTTTCCAGTGGTTCTCTAACTGATGTCAGCTCATGATGAAATCCTCCATACAAATATCTTATACTGTCAGCCCAGAATTCATACCAACAGTCAATTGTTTGCAAAAACCAATATGGGAATTAGTTTATTATTTTGTTTCTTAAACAAACCCAGAAAGAAAACGCACCACCACCAACATAAAGCATTACCTAGATTTTTTATGCAGACATTGTATCCAGCAAAAACGGTCAAGTTTCATATTATAAATAGCTTGGTGCCATAGATTGATGTAATGCAGAGTAGATTGATTTGGCTGCAGACTAGACAGCTAATAGCAACTATTATTTCTTTTGCTAAAGAAAATGTTATAAGAATGACTTACAAATAGTTTGTGTATCTTTCTGTTATTCACAGTGTCTTAGAATATTTTATTAACTACTAAGCATAAATGATGACAAAAAGTGGGAGACAATACGGATTATTCTTTCTTTTACATTGATATTGTATTGTTACTTTTGAAAATCCTCTATGCCTAATATAATTGTTTTTCTTGTGTTTAGAGTGAAGCCGATCGTGTACTTGTTTACTTGGTTCTGTACATCCTGGAATGCTTAAGAAAATTACAAAAGGTTAGTTTTGCTCTACACCGATTAATTTGAAAATAGTTATGAATTCACGGGGTAATAATTATAAGTTCTACATTGATTAGCCACCGGGATGTAGGTTACCAGTGTTATATTCCTAGTCCAGTGTGCAACTTGTTTATCAAGCTATGCGACTAGCCATCTTGATACTCTTCGAAATAGTACTAGACATATTAGAGGCAATCGGTCCATGTAGCCGTGTAAGGAATGCTATGAAATTACACCGCGCTAATCAAGGTACTCTACTCGTGCAGCTAGATGAGAGCCAATGGAGAGTTATCATCTGAAGTGGTGTCCGTCAGGGATGCCCACTTCCCCCCATTTCTGTTTAATTTCATCATAGATGTTCTAATGGATCGACTTGTTACCAGGGAATAATCTTGTTGACTTAGATTAGCATTCATTAGTTCATTTCATAATTACTTACTAACCCAAATGTGAATAAACATTCCAATTTCATAATGTGATCATTTTTATTATGTAATTTTGAAAACAACCTTGAATTGTCACACACGTAGTTATAATGGTGTGTAGCATTAATACATAAAAGTAATGACTGGGATTCATGTGATTTATGGTCATTTAGAGTTAGATTCTCGAGATCAATATCCAGGGGAATATGATGGATGGTGAATTTTAGAAAACACAGATTTTGTACGATTATAAATATCCAGAATACAGATGTGTTGAATTTTTCTTTTTTTTTTAATTGTTTCAACATTGAGCAAGATCGAATTATTGTAAAATTATGTGGAATAATCCAGGTGTGTTTAGATAATTTTGCAATGGTTTCTGTAAATCTGGTTGCATAGAAAAATGTAATTGTATTTTGTAAGGGATATATACACCTGTGCACAACTCCATGATATAACGTCAACGGCCATTCAGTTTTATTCATGATAAATATACATAAAGTCACTGAATTTAAACTTGGTGAAGTCACAGTTGCAAAATAATTGTTTTGGTGTCCCTTGACTCACATTTGTGTGTGTGTTATTGCATACTGTTGTAAAAGTTAATAAGTGTATGCATGTACACCTGTCTAGTTTTATTGCCTATTGTGAATGTTTGGGATGAAGTAAGAATCGAGTTAGAAACTGTCATTAGTAGTCACTTCATTATATTTAAGCGTATTATATACGTATCATCAGATCAGATCCCTTACGAATTAACGCCAAGAGCTCATTTCTTTATTAATATTTTATGCATAAATTTTACTGCATTTAATTAGTAGATTTTATGATTTTTTTCCAGATTTTTTATTTTACATAAATGAACGAATTAACTAAGTATCTCTTCACTCACTCCTTATAGTGTCCTAACAGAATTGTTGCAGGAAAAGAATTGGCTGCTATGGCTATCAGCCGTTTTGATTTACCAGGTGATCCAGATTTCCCCCGAGAACTGAACAATATGTATGCTAAACCGAAGAACTCTACAGAATTGGAAACAATGCGTGGTTATCTTACTCAGCTAAGGCAGGAATTGGGTGTACGCTTAATAGATAAAGTGTATTCTGATGACAACAGTCCGCCAAACAAGGTAATTTTTCTTTTTTTCTTTCCTTCACGTTCCCCGAGTGGAACACAGGGAGTCAGTGTTTATTTTACAGGATGCGGTTGTTAGCCTCATGCCCAACCTATCCTCTTCACCAGCATTATTTCTGGCTTAGCGAGGTAAAGGAGTGCGTCGGCCGGGGATCGAATCCCGGACCATGTGCATGGTCGGTTTAATTGAGTGTTTTGACTCATAAAAACAAGTTCACTTCGAGTCCTTTCTTGCTCAGTTTAAACATAAAGGATTGTTCCGTGGATTAATTGCATATTGTTCTAAGCACCCGATTATTGGTCAATAATGACTCATTATTTCTGGCCTCACCACCAATTATTTCAGCCTTGAGCAGCTGAATGTTATTGCAATGAGTGTTTCATAGTCTGGTTCATGAAAAAGGCTGATTCGAGTAACTGAGTTCTAAGAACATCACGATAAATATAAAGGAAGCACGGTATTACACCTTTTGAGTGTGAAATAAGCATGAAATTGAAATTAAGTCCTGCTTGACTTACTAAATTTCTCTTCAGTTTGTAATGAAAAATTATCAGACATTTAAACAGGATAACAAAAAAGAATATATTCAGACATTTAGAAGACAAAGGAAAATTTGAGCAAAGAATATTCTTTTTGATGGTTTCCTCTTCTGGCCCTACAACTATGTATATATATATATATATGTGTGTTTTTAAATACTATCGATTTGTTAAGATCAATGAAATTACAGTTCAAGAAAGACGCATTAGTAATAATAAGCATACAGATGTAATAGTAAGTAGAATATCAAATAAAATTAAGAAAATTTCCACACCAAATTAAGGCAAATTCATTTTTACAGCTTCACAGTCGCAAATAGCGAAAATATCCATTCGGACATCGATAAAAACAAAATAATTTAGCAAAGAATATCCTTTTCGATAATTTTCCCCTCTGGCTCTACAACTATATATATATATATAAATATATATATATATATATATATATATATATATATATAGTATTCTAAAATAGCAGTCAATAACAATATTAGTGTTTTTTAAATAATATCGATTTGTTAGGTAAGATCTATGGAATTACAGTTCACTGAAGATGCTTAAATTATATTAATAATAATAAAAATACAATAGCAATTATAATTTAAGATTCTTTAATGAACTGTAATTCCATTGATCATACTTTACAAATTGATATTATTTAAAAAGCACTGATATTTTTATTGACTACTATTCTAGAATATTCTATGTATATAAACATACATATAATTGTAAAGCCAGAAGAGGAAATTATCGAAAAGGATATTCTTTGCTCAATTATTTTGTTTTTATACATTGAATTTGTCAAACGAAAATACAATTATTAAGTTTTTGATTGAGTTATATAATATAAAAAGAATTCAGAACCTCGACTTCAAAGGAGACCTACTCAGTGACGTCCTTAGAAGGAGAATCTCCACTTCTTTAAGAAGAACTTTCTTTGCGGCAACATTGAGAGTGGTGTTCTCTAGTCGCCCGCTGATTTGCAGAAGCCCAAAAGACAAGATCCCTCACCTGACCACTTCTATGTGTATATATCAGTTCACCTGTTGCTGTGGAGCCAGGTACATCGGTCGTTCTACGCGTATCCTACCAAAAAGGGTCAAAGAACACTATCCAGCGTGGCTGCAGAAAGGAAGTAATGGCTGCATAAGGAGTGCAATAATAGAACACCTCGTCAACGCTGGTCATTCCATCTCAACAAACGCCTCCTTCAAAGTAAAGTGAAGAACAAGAACAAGTAAAGAACAAAGTGAAGAACAACCTTCCAAAGACAGAACGATTCCGTCTTCTTTGCATCGCAGAAGCCCTAGCCATTAAGCTAGAGGAACCAGAACTGTGCATACAAAAGAAAATTATTCAACCACTTCTACTCCCATGGTAACAACTGTGTTGATTTGACTTAACTTTTCTTTGTTTGTTTGTTTGACTTAACTTTTGTTTGTATGCTTATTTTTCTACTTAAAACCCTTGTGTAATTCCGTATATTTTGTTTCCATGTACACCCTGAGTACAACTCTTTCATCAAACTATTCATGTTATTGCGTAACTCTTCTTTAACAATCGTTTGTGACAACTCATCACTTTTGTTACTACCCTCTTATATCAACACTTAATTCACCTGAACTTAATAATTGTAATTTCGTTTTATTACGTAACTCTTCTTTAACAATCGTTTGTGACAACTCATCACTTTTACCTCTACTCTCTTATATCAACATCCAATTCATCTGAACTTACTAATTGTATTTTCGTTTGACAAATTCAATGTACACACACATACAAAATAACCATATATATTTGCGATTGTACAGCTGTAAAAATGAATTCGCCGAAAAGAGACTCTTCGCTGAACTACTGGATTTTTTATGAAACAAATTAAGGGCCATTAAAACCTTGATTGGTCAAGGTAAGGAAAGTAGTCTGAACCAATTTCTTTTGGATACGTAGATTAGGCTTAATGTAGATTCCGAGTCTTAGTAATATGTAACAGACGAACTATTGAGGTGAAGCTAAGGTTGGTTGGCATATGGTAGGTAAATTTGAAGGCCTTGTTTACATCAATTTCGTGTTGTGTATCTACGAGATGAGACAGTATAGAACTATGAATGGACTTTGTTTCTCTCTTACTTAACCACGCAGGGTAGTGTTCGGAAATCCGATGATAAACACGCCTAATTGTACGGCCTATGTATAACTGGCTCCGTAGGAGCAGTCAGACCGATAGATACACATAGAAGAGGCGAAGTTAGTTAGTTTATCTTTAAATCCCGAACGCAAAATAGGAGTGGTTTTGAAGACACAGCAGCACTGAACGCTCTTTGTAGGTCACTGATTTGTTGTAGAGATTTCCTTAATTTTATTTTATATTCTATTTACTATTACATCTGTATGCTTATTATAACTTATGCTTCTTTCTTGAACTGTAATCTTTTTGATCTTATATATAAGCATATATATAATTGTAGAGCCGGAAGAGGAAATTATCGAAAAGAATACATTCATTGTTCAAATATTCTTTTGTTTTCTAAAATAGAAAAGATATTTATTTTTTGGGAATATCAGGATAAGTTAATTTATGCCTGAGATTATTAACATCTTTTCATTTTATTCGTTTTCTTACTTCATTTTTTATCGTAATTACTATTCTGTTTATATATTTGCATATTACAGTCTTACGTGCGTCGGTGGCATAGCGGCTAGGACGCTCGCCGACCATGCACATGGTCCGAGGTTCGCTCCCCGGCCGACGCACTCCTTTACCTCGCTAAGCCAGAAATAATGCTCGTAATGAGGGGAAGGTTGGGCATGAGGCTAGCAACCCCATCCTGTAAAAATAATCACCACTGCTACAGAAACTTCAAGCCTTTAGCTTGAAGCCCTATGTTCCACTGGGGAACGTGAGGGAAAAAAAATATTACAGTCTTACTTCTCATTTTTTTCTATCCTGAAGACAATACACACACAGTCCTCCTGTTAACCACACTACATGTAAAAATGTCATTTTGACAATAAGTTCATTTCCTCAAAAACTTGAGATTCATTCAATAGGTTCTAGTTTCTGAGTCTACTCTACTTAACGTTAACATAGACTAAAAATGCATGATCAACGCACACTAAATGCGCCCCGTAAAATTATCTGCTGTAAGCACAACTTAGTTCTAACGAACTAACCACTGATAGTGGATGTCGACTAGTGAAACAATTCATGCAGTCGCTCAGATATATTATGTCTGATAACACTATTTAAAAGTATAAAAGAAATAATTTTGAACGATATGTAGAAAGCAATTAAAAACTCAGCAGCAGGGCTAAGCTGCTGATAATAGAATGGTGGGTGGTCGAGTGGATGCATATGTCCTGTTTTTGAGGAGGAGGCTATCGACTGATTAATTACACCTAATATAAAATTATCATCAGAAGTTCGTCTGGATGACGAATATTCACTTGTTTTCATGTCAGAGAGCGATAATGCCACAGATAATTGAAAGGGATGCTTGTTGCGAATATTTGAAATTAATTGGCTATTAGGGACACACAAAACAATCTTATACATATGTAAGTCAATTTAAGTTAACCAAATCACTGCCAATTAAAAAAAAATATGAGACTTTGGAATCAATTAAAAGCAAACTACAAATAAAAGTGAGTAACAGTGAAAATACAGCTACAGTCTATTTATAAAAGTGTGTTAATCAGCCGTAAATTTAAATCCTTTTGGTAAATTCGGTATCGAAAGTATGCTGCGACTATATTCTGTATTCTGGTGTAAGTTTGAAGCTAGTATTTCCAGCCATTATTCTTATCAACGAAACAGTTTTACTATTATTTTTATTCAGTAGCATATATATATATTACTGGCATCTTATTGTTTTTTTTTATTTAATCTAAACAGTGGTGGTTGTGCTTTGGTAAACGTCGTTTCCTGGATCAATCGCTGACACCTCTAGGAGTTTTCTGATATTTTCCCAACAAAATCTCAGCCACATTATTCAGCTTATTGAAACACACATACCATAACATTTTCTTTTTTTTATTATGTAATTACCGCAAGAGGGTAGTGATTTCTTTTCGTTAATTATTTGCACAAATAAATGATCAGAAACATATGCTTACTTTTCTTATGTTAAGAGATATAAATCGGAAGTGTTCTTTCAAGCTGAAAGTCATGTCTATCATGTTTATACTAGTTGTACACTTACTAAATTGGCTTTAATACTCTGATAGGATTACGAAATCACTACAGGTTAAATCTTAAAATCTCTACTTAAGCAAGGTATAGACTAGAATATTTTTAACAAATTTTACCTATTTCTTGACTTGAAGGCGGCTTTCGACTCCGTGGATCGAGAGGTACTATGGCAATGTTTAACTATGAAGGGAATGCCAAGAAAGTACATTGCACTAATCAAGGCACTCTACTCAAACTCACGTAGCTGTGTAAGGGCTTATGGGGAATTGTCATCTGAATTAATAACAACCAGTGGTGTCCTTCAAGGATGTCCACTTTCTCCTTTTCTGTTTAACTTCATCATAGATATGCTAATGGAAGTATCCTTAACTGAACTTAACGACTTAGGAATCGACTTGTTACCAGGGAATAGTTTTATAGACTTAGAATACGCAGACGACATAGTCCTGTTAGGGGAAGACGCTGACCAAGTGCAGAGTCTTCTGAACACCTTGAGCAGCAATCTTCGTATGTTTGGTATGCGATTCGCCCCTGTAAAATGTAAGATGCTGCTACAGGACTGGACTACGTCTACCCCTAGCTTAGTGATAGGGAGTGAAGTGATAGAACATGTTGACCACTTCACCTATTTGGGAAGTTGTATCAGCACCAACTGATTGATTGGTGACGAAATCACAGCACGGATCCAGAAAGCTCGAGCTGCTTTCGCTAACTTACACCGTCTCTGGCGTAGGCGTGACATCCGGCTGTCAACCAAGGGACGTGTATACTGCTCAGCAGTTCGCTCCGTCCTTCTCTATGGCGGTGAGACGTGGCCATTGAGAGCGGAAGACATGAAGAGATTGTCTGTTTTTGACCACAGATGTTTACGATCTCTTTCTCGCGTTAGGTGGTATAATAAGGTAAGTAATGTTGACGTTAGGCGTAGAGTGTTGGGCAAAGAGGGAAAATCAATCGAAGAGGCTATAAAGTTACATATATTGAGATGGCTAGGTCACGTGCTGCGCATGCCTAACCATCGTCTCCCCACCCCGACGGGCATTGCTAGCTGATATAGGTGCAGGCTGGAAAAGAGTAAGTGGTGGCCAAACAAAAACATGGCATCAATCCATGAAATCCCTGACAGTTAAACTGAGTCAGGTATGGAGATGCAGACTTCCGGGTTGGGACTCTAAGAATCAATGGCTGGAGACAATAGGTGACATGGCTCAAAATCGTTGTCAATGGCGCAGATGTATTCAGTCTCTTTAACCTTCATATTCCTTTCTACCATTACTCATTCTGTTTCACTCTTATAATTATCTAAATTCTATTGATTCTCTTCTCTCATTTTCCTGTCTACCTTTGTGTGCTATTTGGAACGTGGCAACTCGAACTGCTGCACTTCGGTGCCAAGTTCTATGTTGAATCCAGCAGCAGCAGTGTAGACTGCAGAAATCAGCTTTGAAAAGGGAGTGAATTTTACACGCTCTTGTTTAGTTTTGGCTTTTGTTGTGTTATACGCTCCAAAAGTCTACAGATTAACTTTAAATCAGTTTATTCTGATCAAAGTTAGTTTACTTTTCAGATCTTAGTCTATTTAAATTATAGGAAATTGGGTCTTATAACATAATAGTTATATATATTTTTGTGCACTCATTGATTTTTATCGCTGATTTATAAAGGTCTATACACATCTAAGTTATATTTAAATTTCTTCGCCAGTCCGTTCTAGACAGTATGCCCATAAAAAAACCGCTGCGGAAGGGTTATGTGCCAATTCCCAATGGATGAGGGAATGCAGTGTGATAACTGCAAGAGATGGTTTCACAGTATGTGCACAAACCTAACTCCTGCAGCATACAAACGCTGCTGCAAACCTCTAGCAAACTGGTTGTGCAATGACTGTTGCAGTACTACCAAACTCCGTATTACAGAAGCCATTGCCACTCTTAGCGGGGCTTTAAAGCTCATGGACTGCAAGGGTCTTCCATCACAGGAGAAGACTGACTACTTCTCAGACACCGAAGATGCGACTAGCGTCATCGACAAAACAGTACATGTTCCTAATGAGTCTTTGTCAATGACTGAGTGCCCTTCAGCACAGAAGAGCACTCACCACATTCCAGACACCCAGGCTGCCCCCACCCTCCAGTGACAGTAACGGAAAGACTGCCACAAAGAAGAGGCGTACCAGGGGTCGTAAACCTGCAGCTCAAGTCACCCAGGTTCTAGTGGATCAAGCCTCATCCACACCGGTGAGTAGCAGGCAGATAAATCCTGCTACGACTAGTGAGGAGAACGCCAATGAGTGGCGAGAGATAAGGACAATACATTGGCCACACTGCCCACGAAGGACAGAAAGACATTCACGCTACAGAGCAACAAAGCGACGGCAAGCAAACCTGATCTCTCTGACAGGTCGCTCATTCTCCACAAAGTGGAAGAGTCACTGGCCCCCGAACCCAAGACTAGATTTGAGCATGACCTTAACTTGGTTAAGCCCCTTTTAGACAAGTTACTGCCACAAACAGTATCAGGCATCACTATACATAGCGTATATAGAATAGGCCAAAAGCCTGACCCTACAGTAAGTCAGCCTGTACGTCTCCTCAAAGTCGTACTAAACTCTAAAGAAGAGAGGGATGCTATTCTAAGCAACTCTCATATACTTAAAGGATCAGGCATATATGTCCGCGCCGACTTAGGCCTGGCAGACCGTGTCAAAAGACAGTCTGCGGCCCTAGAATTAAGCGAACGACGCCGAAACGGCGAAAAGAACCTTAAGATTAAGGGTTTTCGGGTTGTTCAAGTTCGCAGTTTAATGATCCCGAAACCTCTGTGGGTAGGCCGGGGAAGCACCAAACTGAATTAACAGTTTGCTACACAAACGCCCGCAGCCTGTTAAATAAACGGACTGAGCTGGTTAACATGATAGACTCCGGAAACCCGGATGTAATTATTATCACAGAGACATAGCTCACACCCGATGTCACTGACAGCGAAGTTAACCTGCCAAACTTCGAAGTGCATAGGGTGGACCGACTAAACCGCAAAGGAGGTGGCGTAGTCATCTACCTCAAGAAATGCTTAACCGTGCGTAGTATCGAAGCACTCGCTCACGAAAGTGAGTCATGCGAACTTCTACGCTGCAGACTTAAATGCATAGGCCAAGACATTGACCTCATTGCTATGTACCGCAGTCCTGACTGCAGTGCAGATGACTTCCTGATAGAGAAGCTAGGCTCCTGGACCTCGAAATGTCGAAGTCTCGTAGTTGGCGACTTCAATGCCCCAAAAGTTGACTGGACGAGCCTAACAACTCCATCCTCAGTCAACCCCTTTGATTATAAACTGCTGGAATCTAGTATATCGTTAGCTCTAGTCCAACATATCATCAAGCCCACGCGCTAAGACTCACAGCACTCCTCTTCAACTCTGGACCTAGTGTTCTCACACGGTGAGGATGTGGATCTCATACAACATCTTCCTCCTTTAGGAAGAAGTGACCATGCTGTGCTCACTTTCAAGTTCACAGCAACGGCAGCGAGGGCCAGAGCCCCATCTCGACCAAACGTTTGGAAAGCTGATATAAATGCGATCTTCTCAGCAGCCAACTCAGTAAACTGGTACATCAACCCAGAGTCTCAAGTAGAAGCCGCATGGAACCAATTTAAACAACTTTACGCCCAAGTAACTGAACCTTTCATCCCTTGGTCTGTCCCAAAGGGTTGGAAACACTGCTCTCCTTGGATAAACCGAGAGATTCGTAAGTTACTTAGACGTAAACACAAATGTTGGAACTTGTTTGCCACACTTGAGACTTCTGAAACCAGGCAATTATATAACACTGCTAGAAATAAAGCTGTTGCAGAAATCCGCCAATCAGGGATGAAATTGGAAGCACACCTGGCTCAAAATGCAAAGGCACAACCTAAGAAAATTTTCTCGTACATGAACTTCAGGAATGAAACATCCAATAGTGTCCCAAACCTGACTATTGACAATGATACAATCGAAGAAGATCAAGAAAAAGCAGAAGCAATGGCAAACTACTTCTCCCAAGTCTTCACTCAGGAGTCGTCACTGCCTACCGGATCAGCTCTGGCTGCATCAGAAGAACATGGGATAGATTCCGTTGACATCGACCAAGGCATCGTGCTCAACTGCCTAAGGAAACTAGATGCAGGGAAATCAATGGGTCCTGATAATCTTCACCCAAGGCTTCTCAAGGAGTTATCAGCCCACATAGCCGGCCCTTTGACTACGATCTTCAAGCTTTCTCTCCAAAATGGAGTGTTACCGCGTGACTGGAAAGACGCCATAGTAACCCCATCCACAAAGGAGGATCAAGACAAAGCCCTTCAAATTACAGGCCTATCAGTCTCACCAGCACTTTAATTAAGACACTGGAGAGAATCATCAAGAAAAGCATAGTGGCATATTTAGAAAATAGAAGCTTATTATCAAGAGCACAGCATGGCTTCCGAAGGAACCTCTCATGCCTGTAAAATCTTCTCACTGCAAGAGAAAGCTGGGTCAAATCCAGAGACAACAGAAGACCCGTTGACGTCGTCTTCATAGACTTCAGCAAAGCCTTTGATAAAGTACCTCACAAAAGACTACTCATGAAGTTGTAAAGTCTTGGTATCAAAGGCAGCTTACTAAACTGGCTCAGGGAATCCCTCATAGATAGGAGGCAGAGGGTTGGGATCAACTCGGAACTCTCCTCTTGGACAGCAGTACGCAGCGGAGTGCCACAAGGCACGGTACTCGGACCTCTCCTATATATTTTGTATATCAATGAGTTATCTCTGCTCACCGACTCCCCTATGGTCCTATACGCAGATGACTTAAAAATTTGGAGAGAGCTGAAGGACAACAGTGACACGTCCACGTTGCAAGAGGACCTCAACAAATTGTCAGAGTGGTCCATAG